CTCCTTTGGAATGCAAATGGTATTCGAAACCACATCAACGAACTGACAATCTTATTACATGACAAAAACATCGACATAGCACTAATAACTGAAACCCAACAAACTACAAATCAATGTTCCCGGCTACAATATTTATTGAACCGATGATCCTGATGGAACAGCACATGCTGGCACTACCATAATTATCCATCGATCCATTTTCCATCATTTGTTTCCCTTACCAACCCAATTTTCCAATTTCCTATAATCCACAGCCGTAATAATCCAAACTCCTCTTTACCCAATAACACTAGTTGCGGCATATTCCCCGCCTAAAATACCCATTTCCGAATCCCAAATAATTTCCTTCCTGAATTCCTTAGGATACCACTTCCTACTAGGTGCAGATATAAATGCAAAACACCAGCAATGGGGAACCAGATCCACAAATTCCCGAGGGTGAACATTGCTATCTGCATCTAATTCCCATCGCAGCAACATCCTTTCACCTAATACTCCCACATACTGGCTAATAGATCCCAACCTTCTTGACTTTTTCCTACACAAAGGTCTATGATCACTACACTGTTCCATTTCAAAGCTTGATGATCTTTCCTCAGACCATAGTCCTCTAGTCCTAACCGTTTCCACATCTCCCATTCCTAAATCATCCCCACCTTTGTTTATCAGGGGTCCAGTTAACTGGAACCTTTTCCGTCAAATACCTCAGAGTTTCCTTAAAAATACCTGAAGACCTCGACGCTGCAGTGCATTCCTTCACTACCCTGATCCAGCAAGCAGTTTGGACTGCATCCTCAAATGATAGTCCCAAAAAAACAATAACATAAATCCTTTACCTCAAGACCTACTGGACCTTATCCATAGCAAACGTTGCTCTAGGATCCATTAGTAAAGAACCAGGTATCCTGATGACCGGAAATCGTATAATTATTATTCCGAACAGGTAAAAAATAAACTGAATACCTTTAGAACCCAATCCTACAATTCCTACCTCTCCTCATTATTCGCTAGTGATAACTCCCTCTGGAATGTAACTAAAAAAATCCTTAAATTCCCGTCTTTTCCCACCCACTTCTCCGTGATGATGGTTCCTGGGCTTCGTCAGATGCGAATAGAGCTGTAGAGTTTGCTAAACATCTATCCTTCACATTCATTCCTCATCCCGAACTCCATCCCACCCACACTGCTGAAGTTAAAGAATTCTTCTCTTCACCAATTCCTCTCTCTCTACCTCCAAAACCTGTTAACCCCTCTGAGATCAAATTCCTTATAAACAAATTAAAACCCTGAAAATCCCCTGGATATGATCTCCTCACTTCACAAATCCTCAGACAACTTCCCAAAAAAGCAATTATATTCCTTAACTATCTAAACAACTGCATCCTTCGTACAGCCAGCTTTCCTTTGGTGTGGAAACACTATAATCATTCTGTTCCCAAAACCAGGTAAACATGTTAATAACACATCATCCTATAGACCAATAAGCTTACTCTCGATCCTCTCAAAAATCTTTGAGAGAATCCTTCTAAAGTAAAGTATGGGTAGGATGCGTTTGAATCCTACCCATACTCGAATCCCTTCTCATCAGTTTGGATACCACTCAAGACATTCCACTGTCCAACAAGGCCTTCGTGTTGTGGACCATATATCCTCTGCACTTGAAAACAAGCAATATTGCACTGGTGCCTTTCTGGACCTAGCACAAGCTTTCGACCAGGTGTGGCATGGTGGCTTGCTTTTCAAGCTCAAAACCCACTTACCCCAATACTTATACCTAGTCCTCAAATCCTACCTCTCAAATTGTTCCTTTCAAGTCCGCTGTAGCACCAAATTCTCCATTTACTATCCAGTTGAGGTTGGTATTCCACAAGGCTGTGTCTTGGGCCCAGTTCTCTACATCCTCTTCAGTGCCGATATCCCTTCAAGTCCTGATACATTCCTAGCTACATTTTCTGATGATACTGCCATTCTATCCTCCCAATCAGATCCTCAAATAGCATCTCTAAATCTACATTTTCACCTCTCCTCGATTGAGCAGTGGTGCAACAACTGCCTCACCAAAATCAATGAATCAAAATGCAAATATATCACTTTCATCCTGCGACGCAGATCCTGTCTGCAAATCCTTTTTAATTCAATACCACTTCCCTACTCAGACACAGTCCGTTACCTTGGCTTCCTTCTAGATAAAAGACTAACTTGGAACCCACATACCAAACTTACTATATAGATTACAAAGTAGGACATCTCATCTTTTGATTGAAAATAAACTTTTAATCTACAAGACCATACTGAACCCTGGACCAACGGACTTGAGCTGTGGGGAACTGCTAAATATTCGAATATCACATGCTTCCAATCCAAAGTACTTAGAACAATAGTCAATGCCCCATATTATGTCACAAATAAGACCTTACACTATGACCTTAACATCCCATTTGTCCTCGACATCATCCCATCCAGATTCTCAAACTTTCACCAGAACCGTATCCATCATCCAAATCCTCTACCTCAATCCCTATCCAGCTCCCTTCATCCCTACAATCCTTCTCGAAGGTTAAAACAGCAGTGGCCCAAGAGATCTATTGTAAATATGCTTCTGGAGTCCTGGCAATGGCCAGCTTCTCCACTCAAGTCCTAAGCATCTGTGACTGTAGTGCCCTCCTTTAGTCTCCACTGGCCTACCAGTGACGTGGCTGGAAAAGAGGCACTGGGATCTCCTGGAGTCCTTCTCTGCCTTTCACTTTTGGAGGAGAAAGCTTGGCTCGGAGTTCTCTGGGCGAATGTAAATATTGTACATAGGAATGAATGTGTTAAGATGATTTATTTTATTTTTACTTATTGATTTATTTTTTATTTCATTTATGTTTGTTATTCTATTTTTATATTTACTTTTCTTAGTTTGCTCATTTATTTTTTATTTATTAATTTATTTATTTTTATTTTTTATTTCCCTATTATGTGTATATATGGTATGAATGAACACATTTAGCCCTGTTACTTATTGCCCTTCAATGTGGCAGATTGTACTTTTAAAATAATATATATATATATATATATATAAAAAGACAGGAGTGAAAAGTCATTTATTTATTTAATTGTCCTATAGACCTCACAACCGTAAAAGAAATTACCCATTCATGATATATATAAAAATTGAAGGGAATATTTGACAGACAGTGTTCGCACACGTTTTTCTTTTAGTCTACCACTAAATATCAATGAAAACATTATATCTACAAGATATAATAGGAAAAATGAATGGGAAGTTGGAAAATAGAAAACAACAAAAATCCATTCACAAAAAATAAGCGGAAATACAAATGAAACAGTAGAACAAATTTTTTATTAGAGAATGATTGAAATTTTTGTGGTCTCTTAACCCAGGTATCATGGTTTTTATATATTTTTTAATTAAATGGAATAATAATTTTAATGACTAATAAATAAGTTTTAAAAAGCTATCAAATAACAGATAAAAATGTATTTATTTAATTAAAAAATATTTGAATATTGCCATCTGTTGATGTATTCAACATCTTGTAGCTTTAGGCATCTCAGAAGGTTAGAATGATTGATAGATTTGGAAATTATATTGTTCCTCTTACAATAATTATGTTAATTATCACTGTTATTTGCTTATGTAAGATGGGTGCCAGGAAAAAAATAATATATACAACTAAGCTTCTATATTGTATTCTTCACCATGCATGGAACCATACCTATAAACTAAATAATCTACAAAGTTAATAAATATAATCTACAATAAATATATTAACAGTCTATTAAAATTCACAATAAATACAAACTGACTATAAACAATCTATCAAAATAACAACGTAAATATAAATAACTAAAATGATCAATAACAACATGAGTATGCTATATGTAATGCTAATATAGTAATAATTAGTAGGATGCTCGAAATATAAATATAATAAAAGAGTATCACGGGCAATCAATATTCAGTCCAACTCTCAACCAGACATCAACCTCCAGAAGGTGTCGGATTCTTTGATAGCTCTAGCAAAATATCCCCACTGCAAAGAAATAAGTATATAATTTCTCTGTGCCAATCGGTTGATATGGTTGATAGTAAATTGATAATGAGAATAACTCCTCATTAGTAAACTACTCATGGTACTTTAGTTCACTTGCGAAATGCATCAGTAAATTTGTTACCTGCTCGTGGGAATTTATCCTAATAAAGGTGAATTCTTCTATTGGTTTCAATTTCATATACCATAGTGTTAACACTGGAGTTGGTTCCTTTTGGTTCATCTCTTTTTCGAACCTTCCTACTGTTGCTTCATCTCAGTGTCTTGTCCCCTCCACCTTACGTTCATTACAAATAATTACCGAATATAACCTTTATAATATATATTAGCAGCATTTTTTTTTAACATGTCATTTTTTTGTATCTTCAGTATATCGATTAAGCAAAATTTATATTTTAGATGTTATTTATAGACACATATTACCTCGATCAATTTCTTTTTATTATATATTTCTAATATTATTTATGATTATTGTGTTTATATATTGCCTTGCCGGGTTTTTTTTATTTTTATTAACTTCGAGATTTATCATTATTAATGCTTTTCGGTTTCCTTATCCTAAATTAAAGAAGTTGATTAACTTAAGTTTTGTTTTAATTGTGATACTTTATCTGTAATTGTGCATTACCTATGTCCAATATTAATACAATTACTATATTAAAAATACAATACAATATACAAATACTATATTATTACTAATGATGTAGAGATGGTTGACCATTGATATAACATTAGAAGGAGTTAATGGGGGGGTGCGTTCAAGTAAATACTAAATTAAAATATAGTAACTATTTAATTTATTAATTAATTTAGTATTAACTTGACTGCATCCCACTCCCACCCTTCCCGATTAACTCCTTCTCATATATTATTACTAATTTGGCATACTTTTATCATTTTAAATTTTCAAGTTGTATTCTTATAAGATTTATAATTTTGCAGAAATGTCTCCACATTTACTTTAGACCAGAATACTATAAAGGTGATAAAAGAAAAAATGAGAAGTTTAGGAAAGGTCTTTATGAACAAACTCCTCCGAATATTGATGTTGGAATAAAAATTGAAAACCTGTACAAAAAGTATGGAAATCTTACATCAGTAAAAAACTTGTCATTAAATATATATTCGGGACAAATTACTGCCATTCTTGGCCACAATGGAGCTGGAAAAACTACCACTCTTTCCATTTTGTCAGGTAAATTAGTCTTTGTATTTTTTTTTTGGTTTAAGGGAAGAACAGTCAAATAATTTTTATGAGAATGAAATTTATTATTGAATCGGTTAAAATAGTTTTACATTAATATATAGAAATAACAGAAGTCTTACAATGAAAATTAAATAACTTGAACTAACAGCGCATCAGGGAAGTACTACTATTGTTATGAACTAGTGTGGTTTTTTAATAGTAGATATTTTCTCATTATGAGTGTTTTAGTATTTCATAATATTTCAGTTATTATTGAGGGAGTGGTGTGATCTTGTCCTCCTCGTAGTGCCCCTGGATAACCAACCAAATGATCATGTAGTCGTCAGATGCCCAGTGTCACCAATAGCGACTCATGGCACGGTCAGCACAAACCCTGGCCAACGCAGCACAAGGCCATGACAACTTTATATTAAAGGCTCTTTTTTGGAATGCAGGTGGTCTCACCAGTGAAAAGTACACAGAATTGAAGCATTTTATATCCTCAAACAAAATTGATCTATTTTGCATTGTTGAGGCAGGCACTGCTACTGATTGTCTTGAATAATTAAGATATCCAGAATTCCAAATTTACTCACTGCCAAGAATAGATAGCATTAGGAATACTTGTTGGTGTAAGGTCTTCCTTCACGGTCGTTTCAAGTTAAAAAGGAAATGGATGCAAATGATAAATTGGAAGGAGTGGAAATCAATCTGTGATCAAGCAATTTTCACCACCAAATATTTATCATCTCTAACCTCCCTAACAATAAACCCATTTTGGGTTGGCAGGTGGACTCTTTGACGGACAAATCCCTTGTGTATGAAGACTTCAACGCACACTCTAGGCCCTGGGGTTACACAATCTCAAATTCAGCAGAAAAACTCTGAAGGAATTTATCGATACAAATATGATTGAATTTGTGGAAAACGAAAATTCAAAGCCCACTTTTCTGGGCTATAAAGGTAATAGTTCCTACCCTGACCTATTATTGGTGCACCCACGAATAGCTCCGCTGATCTCCCACACAGTTGCCTCTCCACCTGGAGCAGGATAATGCTTGGCTATCTTAATGGCAACTTAAAGTCTCATGATGGTTCAGTGGCTCGAATGCTCTGATGGAATTTGAAAAAAGCCAATTGGAATAAATTCTCTCAACTCACTCACATAGCCATTACGGACGAAACTATTACGGAGAATGTAGATATAAGCTGTACCCGACTTCAAGCAGCAAATCTCGAGTATGCAAAGCAGTCCATTCCTCGGGATTTATGAAAAGATATTCCCCATTCTGGAGTGACAATCTACAGAAACTAAAAGATAGTAGGGATGCAGCAAGAAAAGATGTAGAAATGTCAAAGAAACCGGAAGATATAATAAGGCTAAAACAACTTACAGCAACCCTTAAGCACAATATAATTCAAGCCAAAAGAAAAGCTTTCAGAGATTATTTGGCTGGTCTGGACTTTCGAAGAGATGGAGTAAAAGCACATAGATTCATCTCAAAGCTAAATGGCGGAAAAGACCCCAGGAACAACCCTCTGAAGTTCAATAACAAGGAGATACATACTGGACTTGCCATAGCAAGAAACTTTTGTAGATTCTTTGCCAGGGCCTGTAACTATAAACCAGCAGTAGGAAATAAGAAAATTAATACCACACCACCAATCCTATCATATGTTCATATGAGCCATATGTTCCTTATTGGCCCTGAGGTTTAGAGTAAGATATAATGGCTGGTGTTCAGGCTTCAGAACTTTAGTCAGGGAGTTCTGCAAGGATCTGTTTTGAGCCCCACACTCTTTAATATAATGATTGGTGACTTAGTGGCTGTACTCGACGGAATACCCGAAATATCTGCTCTACTGTTCGCTGATGATCTACTAGTACATGCAACTAGTAGCAACATAACAGCACTCAAAGCAGCAATTAATGAGGCAATGGCAAGACTTTTTATCTGGCCAAGAGTAATGAAATGGAAGTAAATAGGCAGAAAACTGAGTTCCAGCTGTTCATCTATATATGTTCCCTTGCCAAGAACCTATGCAGGCAAATATCTGAGAGTAAGGTTAGATACAAAAATGATCTGGAACAGACAAATTGAAGAGATGGTGGAAAAGGGAGAAAACAGGCTAAAGCTTCTGAAACACCTTGGAGGAAAGACATGGGGGCCACCCAGGATATGATGTGCCTTGCATATAAAACCTATGTGCTTTAAGTCCTGGAATACGGATCTGAGGTCATCTGCACTGCGGCAGATATATCCCTGAAAAGATTGGACGGCCAGCAGAACAAACCTCTGTTTGATTTTGGGTGCACCGTGCTCAACCCCTGTTGTAGCTATGGAACTGCAGACCACAGAAGAACCCCTCTCAAAACGGCGTCAGCGAGCTGCAATGTGCCTTCACGAGCAAATGAAAAGAATGGATCCAGAGTTTTGGAAAAATTACAAAACCCCCACTCAACGGCTCAAGGCACAAAAATCCTTCATGCTGTAGGTGATGGCACTACTTGAATAAAGAGGGCTTGACTGCGAAGAAACGGAACCATTTATACATCCACAGTTACCAATTCACAATCATGCATGCAATGCAGAACTGCAACTCCTTCATAAGGTGGACAAGAAATAAAAACCTGAATACAAGCCAAAAGCATTAGCACTAGAAACTATAGCTCAAAAGTGCCCTCCTCAAGATTGGCTCCATATCTATACCGACAGATCAGCTGAATCAGCCGTTAAAAATGCTGGAGCAGGGGTTTACTCAAGGAAATTCCAAATCAGCAACATTATCAATCATCAATCAGCTGCGGTGAGTAAAGATGGAACAAATTTCGACGGTGAGATAGCGGTGATCCTCATAGGCTTAAGAACATTGTCTAGAAGGTGGGATCAGAGTGCTGTTCTCTTCATCAATTCTCAAGCAGCCATCCTCCCTGTTACGAACACGAATAAATGTCTTATCGAGTGCTATATTGGAATGCAAATCCCTCATCTCTAACCTGACACTCCGAGGCGCCAATGTGGTCCTACAGTGGATCCCCAGCCATTGTGTGATTCCGAGAAACGTTGGGGCTGATAGTCTTGCCAAGCGAGGAACAGACTTGCCTCAGCCGATACATCCAAAACCTTACGATTCAATATGTCGAATGGTGAAGATGGTAGTGAAGGAAGAAATAAGAAAAAACACTTGGGCAAAGTGGAAGGGAAACATTATCTGTGTTTGAAAGATAATCCGATTCCAGCTGAACTGCTGAGAAGAGATGCAGTTGCCTGCTTCCGCCTGGCCATTGGTCAGGACTATCTGCAGTCATCTCTACAAGATAGGTGTGGCTGAGGATCCTAGTTGTAAATTGTGTCATCAAGGAACAATGGATGCAGACCATCTTGACACATGTCATGCCTTGACGGATATAGGAGAAAAAATATTTTTATATATATGTGTATGTATATATTATATTTTAATATATATATATATATATAAAATCTGAATTATACTGGGCAGCAAGATATTGGATGGCCAAACGACCAACGACTTGCATAAGAGAAAAAAAAAGAAAAGTTATTGATGTTATCAAGATGTTATATAACAGAAATTATTAAAATTATCAAAATAGTTTGGGCAAAATGTTACATTGAATTATTTTGAGAGATATATTTAAATATGGCACAAGTGAATATATCTTTGCTTGTTATCCCTCTACGAACCGATAGGAAATGCAAGCTCCCTTCCCCTAGAGACAAACTCATCTTAGACGCACTGTACTTATTCACATATATTACGATTTTGGGTCAATGACCAATATATATATAGATTACTTACTTAAGTATATATATTAATAATGGAAATAGGAAATGCAAATATCAATGTATTATTTTGTAATGTAATAATGTGTGTGTATATATATATATATATATATTGTAACAACCCTCCTATGTTTTACAGATAATAATATAACCTCGGAAGCTCACTTCTTACCATTGGGATACTTCCTAAATAAATAAGAGATTGTTTATTTAATAATAAACAAAATTATAAGAGTATTAATATATTTATTTATCTCAGGTGTAGGTTACTGACAATCAGATCAACTCAGACAAACTATTATTATTTATACCAAAATTAAACACTGATTTTATAATAAAGTCAAGTATGGATTGGCAAGCTAACCTTTTATATATATTGTAACATATTTTATTAGGGCCTTTATAAATTGTAATTGTTAATAGAACTCATGTTCATGTTTTGTTCTTTTATTTTTTTGAACTGTGTGAAAAGGAGCATCTATATGTAATATATTTATAAATTTAATTTATTTCTAGATATTGTATTAATTTTAGTTGTGATTTAATTTAAAATTGTAAAAAACAATAATAACATTTAACTAGCGATAAAGATTAAAAGGTACGATGTATTAGAGCTAACGGACGGGAGGTCCTTCTCTGTCAAAGGTTGAATAGTAAATGACTAGTGGTATAGTGTTTTGGAGGTTGCGCGTGGCGCCCTCTAGGCGTTGTTCTAATGAACTATTTAATTCATTTATGCAAGTCATTGTTTTTTCTAATAATGATTAATAATTTTAGTAGCTCAACCTGTTAATTTCCTAGTGAACTATGAATTTCATTTTGAAGCTATTTATTATTTCTTTTTGTAATTACTGATTTTGTAAATAACTAATGTTTGTAATATTTTTAAAATAAGTATTCATGTACTATAATTAAATAAAAATGAAAGGAGTTTGGACTTAGAGATCTCAGGGCCTAATTAAAATAATTGTTACTAGTGTAGCCTCTCACCAACCTGAAAACAGGTCTGAGGGCTGGCTATTAGTTTAAATACTGGCCTGGTTCCTAGGGCAGGCACTCTCTCCCGAGTCACTACCTTCTCAGATAGGCTCCTGGTATCTCTCTGTCTGACAGTTTGAAACCAGACCAATGTGTTATTTTTTGGTTTTACCTTCCTCCTTCTCTTTTCTCTCCTAACCTACCTCCTCTCTGCTTTCGTAGGAATAACTTGGTTGGCCCCTGTTTTCCTACAGTCCCCCTTGCATCTTCCAGGTTGTCCCTGGGAGTGTAGGGTTACCTATCCTCGCAACGTCAGGGGATTGCCTCCTCGGTTGCTGAGCCCTGGATGTGTAGGGGTTGTCCCCCTATCATTCTTGGCGGTCTTACCTTATCCTATCCTCGCAACGTCAGGGGATTGCCTCCTCGGTTGCTGAGCCCTGGATGTGTAGGGGTTGTCCCCCTATCATTCTTGGCGGTCTTACCTTATCCTATCCTCGCAACGTCAGGGGATTGCCTCCTCGGTTGCTGAGCCCTGGATGTGTAGGGGTTGTCCCCCTATCATTCTTGGCGGTCTTACCTTAATCCTATCCTCGCAACGTCAGGGGATTGCCTCCTCGGTTGCTGAGCCCTGGATGTGTAGGGGTTGTCCCCCTATCATTCTTGGCGGTCTTACCTTATCCTTCTCATCCTATCTAAGCTTATACACCCCATTCTTACAAACTTAAATAGATACACGAATACCAGGTTAATTGACTAACAGAAAGATTAAAGGTTAGGAGGACAGATTTCAGATTTTAAAAGACAAACGTCGGCAATAATGTACAGACAGACAGAGAGATAAATAAATGTAAAAATCAGGCTTAGTGTGGAGGACCTGGACAACGTACATCGCCGCAGAAGCCGAAAAGATGACTCGCGACCGCCGCCTGTTATTTTGTCAGGCAATCAATTAGAGATGATTTAATTACGAAAAGGAAAGTGAAGAGGAATTTCTCCACGCGGGATATCGGTTGGCAGGAAAATGACTGCCACCGAATTTATCTGGGTGAAGAGATGACTTGCACAAACAGACACCTCTATTGGCTAGCCCGGCAGAAGAGAGTGGCGGGAAAAATCAAATATACGTGGTTTGCTTCCGGAAAGGTGCGGTGTCGAAAAGAGGACGGACATAGAGTCATCTTGATTGAACAGGCCTCGGATCTAAGTGTATTTGACTGACTACCTAGAAGTCGTCAACCCCTTAGCCTCATTAAAATAGTCTTACTTCTTCTCTTAGTGCTATCTCTACACCGTCACTCACCAATCTATTTATTTTTAAGTACATTCTCTTTATTTATTTTTAATGTTAATATTACTTTTTCTTCACTTAGTTTCATGTACGATAATCGCTATTCTGTACTTTCTACTCGTTTTGTCTTCTCGCTACCAAACACTGACTGTTTCTCTCCAAATCCACTGTATGTCTAGTTCCCTAATCACATGTCAAGTTAACTCTCAATCACTTTCTGCCCATTATGACGAATTCCTGCAATACTTTACCCAAAACTTTTATCATATCATAGCAATATCCGAAACCTGGCTCAAACCTTATATTTCATCATCTTCAGTATCCTTGCCGAATTACATCCTGCTCCGTCATGACCGGGTAAACCGGACTGGCGGTGGAGTAGCCATGTTTGTCCACAATAGCCTAAAGACCCGAATCCTCGATTGCTCCCCATCTTCCGATCATCCTCATGTAGAATACCTCTTAGTAGAAATTCTCAGTAATATTTCTCCTATCCTTTACGCTGTGGTATATCGCCCTCCTCTCGTGCCATTTGACCCGTCCTTCGAATCAACTCTATTCAACTTCGTTCCCCTCTATCCCAGAATAATTATCTCCGGTGACCTCAATACCAATTTCCTCTCAAAATCCAATGACAAATCCTATTTAGAAAATCTGTTTTTCTCACTTCACCTATTCATCGTTCCTTTTTCCTCCACCCACCACACTAGCAGATCTGACACTTGGCTAGACTTCTACATCATCGACTCAGCACAAAACCTCCTCTCCGCCTCTCAATTGCCAGTATCCTTTCTTTCATCTCACGATCTGATACAAATAACGTATAATATCCGCACTCCTCCAATCCATCCTTGAACTATCACTTTCCGCCAACTGGATACCCTTACTAGAGAAAAAATATTACCTGATCTAGTAACATTGGATTTGAATGGAATATATCATTGCTCCTCTGTCGACACCATGGTTGATATTCTCACCACCAATCTTCTCAATATACTCAATACCCACGCTCCTCTCAAAACCTCCACTTTCCGTCATCGTCCTGCTCCTTGGATGTGTCAGGAAATTAAGGATCTGCAGAAGAGACGCGACGCTGCACGCAGACGTTTCAGACGGACTAGGCTTGCAGATGATTATCAAATATTCAGAGTGCTTCGTAACACGACACAGACAAGGATCCGACAAGCGAAAGCGAACTACTTTCACGAAGCCCTTTCCTCAGCTCCTGATATCAAATCAAAATGGCTTCTACTTCGTAAGCTTTCCCTCTGTGAACCTTCTAGATCCCCTTCCTCAGTTTTCCCAATATCACCTGATGACCTAAACTCCCACTTTATATCGGTTTCCACCTCTTCTTTACCATCCCCTTCCGGCTTTTCTCCAGAGGTACCTTTTAACGACAATAATTTTTATTTTTCCAACATTTCTCCCACAGACCTTATTACCGTTATAATGAAATCCCATTCCAATTCCGTAGGCCCAGATGGCATTCCTATCAAACTAATAAAATTATGTCTCCCTGAAATCCTCCCAGCACTCCTTTTCTCATCTACAATTTCTCCCTGCAGAATTCAATATTCCTGACCTCTTGGAAAAAAGCCATTGTCCTTCCTTTAAACAAAAAGCCTAATCCATCCTCTCCCGAAGATTTCCGCCCAATATCAATCCTTTCCAATCTTTCTAAACCCCTAGAAAAGTTAGTGCAATCCCAAGTGTCTAACTTCCTTGAACAATCCAACCAACTCAATCCTCTCCAATCTGGCTTCCGTCCTGGCTACTCTACACAATCTGCTCTGATTAAAATTACTAGTGATATCCAGACTGCAATAGATGACAAAAAACTAACCATACTTATACTTCTTGATTTCTCTAAAGCTTTCGATTCCATTATCCATTCCATCCTTTTCAACAAACTAAAATCATTATCCTTCTCCAATAGTTCCATCTCTTGGTTCCAGTCTTTCCTCTCACAACGAACCCAAGCAGTTTCCATACCTAATCAACCTCTATCTGCCTACCTTCCTTTATCCTCAGGAGTTGCACAGGGTTCAAGCATGTCTCCTCTTCTTGTCAGTTCTTATATTAATGACCTAAATGATACAATTATCCATTGTTCCCACCACCTTTATGCCGACGATTCTCAAATCTATTTATCCTTTTCTCCCGCTGAGTTATTGGTGGCATTTGCCAAAATTCAAGAAGATTTAGATCGAATTAGTGCCTGGGCCAACTTAAATGGATTAAGGCTAAATGCTGCCAAAACTCAGGCCATTCTCATTGGTTCCAAGCCCCTTCTTAGATCCCACACCAACTTTCCCTCACTCTATCTAAACAACCACCCCATCACCTTCTATCCCTTTGTTAAAAATTTAGGCTTTCTCATAGATCAAATCCTTTCCTGGAATCACCATATCTCTCATATATCCCGCCGTGCAATTTCTACCCTCAAACTATTCCATCACTTCCGCCATCTTCTACCCCAAAAGACTCCTAGTTTCCTCTCTCATCTTTCCCCACTTTGACTACAGCTGTGTGGTGTACGATGGCCTCTCGGTGGAACTGCGTGATAGACTCAAAAGACTTATGAATTGCTTCGTAAGATTTGTAATTGGAACCCCGAGACGCTCCCATGTCTCCCACCACTACACTGAGTTAGGGTGGCTCTTCCCCTCCTTAAGAAGACAATATTTCCTTCTCACTTTCCTTTATCAAATCATTATCGATCATCGTCCTTCTTATGCCTACAACCTTCTCCAATTTAAGTCCTCAATCCATTCACTCACTACAAGATCCCGACACTCTGACCTATACATCCCTTCTCATAGATCTGCCTCATTCCAAAATTCCTTTATAGCCCGCTCTGTCAACTTTTGGAATTCCCTCCCGATCAAAATTCGACATGCCCCTTCCCTGTACACATTCAAAAACCTCCTATTCCAATTCCTGTTCCAAAAACAGTCAGATACCAGCTAACTATTAATATTATATATGTATTGTGTAGCAATCATATAATCATAACACTTGGTAAGAGATAGTACATGCATTTCCTACTATCGACGTAGGAATTTCAATACATATATTTTTTTGTATTTTTTTTTTATTCAATTATAAGTAACTGTTTATTTTTATATATATATTCAAGTAAAGTTCTTTTTTTTTTTTTTTTTTTTTTTTTTTTTTTTTTTTCATTAAATGAACTCATTGTATCTCTTTTTCGTTCTTCATTTCTCAAAGTGTATGTTTATGTTGTTCAACCCTTAAATATAATTTTGTTCATAGTTCAAGTGATTCGTTCATAGTTTTAATTGTTTTGTTCATAATTTTAAATGCTCTGTACATAGTTTTATCTGTATTGTATATAGCTTGTGCACCTAAGGTTTTCTTTACTTTTTATTTTATTTTATCAATTTTATTTATTGTTTCAATGTTCAGGCCATTAATATTCTATTATTTTGTACATTATTGTTATTCTGAAGGGACTTAGTCCCAGAATAAAGTTTTTTTTTCTATCTATCTATCTATCTATAATTAAATAAAAATAAAAGGAGTTTGGACTTGGAGATCTCAGGGCCTAATTAAAATAATTGTTACTAGTGTAGCCTCTCACCAACCTGAAAACAGGTCTGAGGGCTGGCTATTAGTTTAAATACTGGCCTGGTTCCTAGGGCAGGCAGGTTCCTGGCTCGCTTGCTGTGTACATCGCTGGTGACGTCACTACAGCTCTTAACGGTTTTTAATGGTTTTCTGTATTGTTTACTTCTCGTTCTTGTGTGCTCCTGCATTATGTGAGGTTCACGTAAGTAGGTAGCTTTATTATTAACCTTTTGGTTAATTAATTTGTCTAAGTTAACTTACAATTCTATTAAATCACCATCATGACGCCACCACTTACTAACAACAACTCTGAACATGACCCACAGATACGACATAGCACAATGGAACACCTCAACTCTCCCACAAATAAACTGAAAAGGTACAACCATGACGAAAATACTGACTTTGAAGGCTACATTATACCTAAGAAAATTTCGTACGCACCAAGACCAACTATCATACCGACGAGAACATCCAAAAGTTTTTCTGCACTACAGACAATTAATAATAACACGGATCCTACACCATCCAGTAGCAACAATACACAATACAAAAACTCTACCACGCCAAAAACGTTTAAACCACCTCCTATTATTATCAGACCAGCAATGTCCGCTGTGGCATTACGAAAAGCTCTATTAGATGCTAAAATTAAAAACTTTACCATTCGTTCAAATAGGGACGAAACCAAATTGTATTTGGACCTCAAACCTGACTACGAAGCTGCAATACATGTCCTAAATGTCAGCGATGAAATTGATTTTCACACCTACTCCCCACGCGGATCAAGGCCGCTTAATAAATTTATCATTAAAGGTCTGGACCTTGACCATGACCTTGATTCAATTACTGAAACCCTCCAAGCCCGCTTACCCGGACTCAAATCTGTATGGAGGATGAAAAAGACCGACGCAGATGGCTTCAAAATAGAACTGCCACATATTATAGTCACGACAGACCCTGACACTACCATTGACAACCTCAAAGCAGTTGGTCCAATCGACCATATGGGGTACTCAGTTGAGAAACTGAGGAACATCAATGGTCCCAGGCAGTGTTACAACTGTCAGCAATTTGGACATACAAAAAATTACTGTGCCCGCAAGATAAAATGCGTACGATGTGGTGAACACCACGACATCAGCGAATGCTCCCGAAACACCCCCCTCAAATGCGCAAATTGTCAGGGCCCTCATGTGGCCTCTTATCGCAATTGCGAAAAGAGACTTGCACTATTACAAAACATAGTGCAGGCTCATGCTGGAAGAAATACAGCAACAAACCCCAGACAAGAACAAAAGGGTAAAGCATCACAAGCTCCGCCCACCACCTCAAGACCCGACTCTTATGCGGGAGTAGCCCACCTAGCTCCCCCTCCCACCACCCAATCCCCACCCTATGAACAGCCCCCATGGGTCTCCGAACTCGTGGGCATGTTCAGGGACATGAAGTCCATGTTCACAACCCTATTAAACACAGTTAACCTTATACTTCAAAAAAACATCAATGGTTAGACATTTGATTATAAACTATAACATAACAGGGCTCATGCTTCGTAAACTTGAGCTAGAAACTCTCCTGGCTTCCCACAAGCCATCAGTCGTTGCACTGACTGATACACGAATCAACAAACTAACTCACATATACTTCCCCGGGTACCACATATACCGACTAGATTCCCCATCACATGGTGGCGTCGCACTTCTGGTGCGTTATGACGTCCCTTCCAGATTAATAAACAACACTACACTAAATGATGACAAACACTCAGCAATTACTATACAAGTAAAACTTGAACATACATACAAAATTACATGCATTTACCGTAGTCCTAGTGGAAAACCTGACATATTAAAACTATTTCTGAAGGACACCGAGACAGACAAACGTCACATAATAGTAGGAGATCTCAACGCCAAACACCATACATGGAACTGCACAAACTCTAATGCATTAGGAAACTTCCTGACCAAATCTACTTATACAATCATACACCCTAATGCATACACTTATAGACATCATGCTAACCCAAATATCACGTCTACACTTGATCTACTACTCACACAACAACCACACAGATTCACAAACTGCAACACGATAGACTTTAGCAATAACGACCACATACCTGTACTATACGAACTAGGACATAACTCAACCCTAACTCAACCCACAGACTACAAATACAATTTCAAACACGCTGACTGGAAACAATACAAGACACAAGTATATAGTGACACACCAAACATCACGACACTTACAACAACTATAGACATCGACAACGCCATTAGTACATTACACAACATTATCCATAATGCAGCTAACACCACCATACCCACCTTCAACCCCATTCCAATTCACCTTCGCATACCACCAAAACACATCCTATCAATCATAAAACAACGTAACAACATCAAGAACTGCTGGTACAGAACTAAAGACCCTACTTACAAACCTATCATAAACAGCCTTACTAGACAAATAACATCCCTTATGTCGCAGTGGAAAACGTCAATATGGCATGAACAACTTCGCCGGACCCACAACGACCATAAAAAATTCTGGAAACTAGTCAGAAGCCACAACACCAAATCCAAATCGGTGAAAATCCTCGAGGCGATGAGCTTCTCACTCCTGCAGACCAGGCTAGCATTCTATCAGACTACTACGTAGAACGAGACGATGCCCGTACTGACACCATTTATCATCACATCCCCCACACGGATAACCTAAATAACACAATATTCTCCACATATAAAGACCTGACTGCAATTTTGAGAAAAACAAAGGGAAACAAGTCTGCTGGAAAGGACAATATTCCTTCTGTCCTTATCAAACAACTACCCCGTAAAACCCTAATGTTTCTCCTTAACATTTTTAACTCATGCTCACGCCTCAGATATTTCCCAACGGAGTGGAAACATGCTATTGTCGTTCCACTCCTCAAACCCCGGAAACGAGGAGCGGTCCCGGAAGATTATCGGCCGATCAGTCTCCTCGACCACATCTCAAAAATATATGAGAAACTAATCCTCATCCACATCCGAAAACACTGCGATTCACATGACATTGTACCCCCTGAACAAACTGGGTTCTCTCGCGGCGTTAGCTGTTATCATCACGTGGCTAAATTACAGTACGAAACAGCTAATAACCTAAATAAAAATCTTGCCACAGCCATGATCTCCCTTGACTGCACACAGGCTTTTGATTCTGTATCCCACTCCATCCTTATCGATAAACTCAGGCATCACCAATTCCCTGTACAACTAGTCGATATTATCGGCTCATATCTCAGTGACAGGACCTTCTCAGTTCGAGTCAAAACTGACATGTCACCCCCTAGGCCAGTTACTTGTGGCGTCCCCCAGGGCTCAGTTCTGGCGCCTATCCTATTTAATATTTACACTGCCCAAATAGTTGGGACCAAAATTGACAAAGTTCAAATAGCTGCTTATGCTGATGATATTGCTATCTACACAGCAAGCATGGGAGCTAAACACGCAATGCGCCGAGCACAAAATGCAGCCCAACTGATCATAGACCAACTTAAAAACATAAACATCCACATCAACCCGGCAAAAACCGACGCCATCACATTCTCATACAAGAAAACAACTGAAAAACTCCCTAAACTTAACGGTCAAACTAGAAAAACAAAAAGACATCTCACATACCTAGGAATAAAACTCGAATCACACCTATCTTTCACAGCGCACATACAACACAGAATGCAAACAGTAAAATCTACCACATATCAACTCCGCCATCTACTCTATTCTCCAGGGCTGTCACTCAGACTCAAATTACTCATATATAAAGCCATACTCAGACCTTCACTTCTCCACAGTGCCCCCCTCCTACACTACCTATATCCCACAGCCCTGAAGAAACTACAACAATACCAGAACAGCATACTCATGAAGATCTGCAAAGGGACAACATTAGAAAGACGAAACATGAAACACATACATAACGAACTACAACTCTACTTTGTACAACAACATATTTCAAGAAGACATATCAAGTTCTTCGACAACCTCCCCGCATCCTTTAACCCATTATTCCGATCCATCACCCCAGCCCCCCTCCCTGCCAGATGGCAAGGCCGTAAGGGTCCAATAAACCTCACCAACATAATCATTTAACCCGCCTCACGGCTAGTCCTCCCTTCCCCATCCCTATCCATATCCCTATTCCTCCCCCCCTCCTTATTTTATCGTTATGCTTAATTTTTATTTTATTTTATATATTTTTCACTTAACGAGCAGAGGACCCTCAACTCCAAACATCTTATCAAGACCTTAAGTGGACAGGAAGAGATAACCAACAAAAATCATTCAACGCACCTTCAAATACCATAGGTAGAAAAAGGTCAAGGTAATTCAGAGTATCGTTCCGCTAGTCAAATGGTCCGATATGACACTGATATCATGATTTGTTTTGTTTCGGAGGGATCGGAAAAAAAAAAAAAAAAAAAAAAAAAAAAAAAAAAAAAAAAAAAGGGCAGGCACTCTCTCCCGAGTCACTACCTTCTCACATAGGCTCCTGGTGTCTCTCTGTCTGACAGTTTGAACCAGACCAATGTGTTATATATTGCTTTTACCTTCCTCCTTCTCTATTCTCTCCTAACCTACCTCTTCTCTCCTTTCGTAGGAATAACTTGGTTGGCCCTTGTTTTCCTACAGTCCCCCTTGCATCTTCCAGGTTGTCCCTGGGAGTGTGGGGTTACCTATCCTCGCAATGTCAGGGGATTGCCTCCTCGGTTGCAGAGCCCTGGATGTGTAGGGGTTGTCCCCCTATCATTCTTGGCGGTCTTACCTTATATACCTTATCCTTCTCATCCTATCTAAGCTTATACACCCCATTCTTACAAACTTAAATAGGGCAGGCACTCTCTCCCGAGTCACTACCTTCTCACATAGGCTCCTGGTGTCTCTCTGTCTGACAGTTTGAACCAGACCAATGTGTTATATATTGCTTTTACCTTCCTCCTTCTCTATTCTCTCCTAACCTACCTCTTCTCTCCTTTCGTAGGAATAACTTGGTTGGCCCTTGTTTTCCTACAGTCCCCCTTGCATCTTCCAGGTTGTCCCTGGGAGTGTGGGGTTACCTATCCTCGCAATGTCAGGGGATTGCCTCCTCGGTTGCAGAGCCCTGGATGTGTAGGGGTTGTCCCCCTATCATTCTTGGCGGTCTTACCTTATCCTATCCTCGCAACGTCAGGGGATTGCCTCCTCGGTTGCAGAGCCCTGGATGTGTAGGGGTTGTCCCCCTATCATTCTTGGCGGTCTTACCTTATCCTATCCTCGCAACGTCAGGGGATTGCCTCCTCGGTTGCTGAGCTCTGGATGTGTAGGGGTTGTCCCCCTATCATTCTTGGCGGTCTTACCTTAATCCTATCCTCGCAACGTCAGGGGATTGCCTCCTCGGTTGCTGAGCCCTGGATGTGTAGGGGTTGTCCCCCTATCATTCTTGGCGGTCTTACCTTATATACCTTATCCTTCTCATCCTATCTAAGCTTATACACCCCATTCTTACAAACTTAAATAGGGCAGGCACTCTCTCCCGAGTCACTACCTTCTCACATAGGCTCCTGGTGTCTCTCTGTCTGACAGTTTGAACCAGACCAATGTGTTATATATTGCTTTTACCTTCCTCCTTCTCTATTCTCTCCTAACCTACCTCTTCTCTCCTTTCGTAGGAATAACTTGGTTGGCCCTTGTTTTCCTACAGTCCCCCTTGCATCTTCCAGGTTGTCCCTGGGAGTGTGGGGTTACCTATCCTCGCAATGTCAGGGGATTGCCTCCTCGGTTGCAGAGCCCTGGATGTGTAGGGGTTGTCCCCCTATCATTCTTGGCGGTCTTACCTTATATACCTTATCCTTCTCATCCTATCTAAGCTTATACACCCCATTCTTACAAACTTAAATAGGGCAGGCACTCTCTCCCGAGTCACTACCTTCTCACATAGGCTCCTGGTGTCTCTCTGTCTGACAGTTTGAACCAGACCAATGTGTTATATATTGCTTTTACCTTCCTCCTTCTCTATTCTCTCCTAACCTACCTCTTCTCTCCTTTCGTAGGAATAACTTGGTTGGCCCTTGTTTTCCTACAGTCCCCCTTGCATCTTCCAGGTTGTCCCTGGGAGTGTGGGGTTACCTATCCTCGCAATGTCAGGGGATTGCCTCCTCGGTTGCAGAGCCCTGGATGTGTAGGGGTTGTCCCCCTATCATTCTTGGCGGTCTTACCTTATCCTATCCTCGCAACGCCAGGGGATTGCCTCCTCGGTTGCTGAGCCCTGGATGTGTAGGGGTTGTCCCCCTATCATTCTTGTCGGTCTTACCTTATCCTATCCTCGCAACGTCAGGGGATTGCCTCCTCGGTTGCAGAGCCCTGGATGTGTAGGGGTTGTCCCTCTATCATTCTTGGCGGTCTTACCTTATCCTATCCTCGCAACGTCAGGGGATTGCCTCCTCGGTTGCTGAGCTCTGGATGTGTAGGGGTTGTCCCCCTATCATTCTTGGCGGTCTTACCTTAATCCTATCCTCGCAACGTCAGGGGATTGCCTCCTCGGTTGCTGAGCCCTGGATGTGTAGGGGTTGTCCCCCTATCATTCTTGGCGGTCTTACCTTATATACCTTATCCTTCTCATCCTATCTAAGCTTATACACCCCATTCTTACAAACTTAAATAGGGCAGGCACTCTCTCCCGAGTTACTACCTTCTCACATAGGCTCCTGGTGTCTCTCTGTCTGACAGTTTGAACCAGACCAATGTGTTATATATTGCTTTTACCTTCCTCCTTCTCTATTCTCTCCTAACCTACCTCTTCTCTCCTTTCGTAGGAATAACTTGGTTGGCCCTTGTTTTCCTACAGTCCCCCTTGCATCTTCCAGGTTGTCCCTGGGAGTTATCCTCGCAACGTCAGGGGATTGCCTCCTCGGTTGCTGAGCCCTGGATGTGTAGGGGTTGTCCCCCTATCATTCTTGGCGGTCTTACCTTATCCTATCCTCGCAACGTCAGGGGATTGCCTCCTCGGTTGCTGAGCCCTGGATGTGTAGGGGTTGTCCCCCTATCATTCTTGGCGGTCTTACCTTATCCTATCCTCGCAACGTCAGGGGATTGCCTCCTCGGTTGCAGAGCCCTGGATGTGTAGGGGTTGTCCCCCTATCATTCTTGGCGGTCTTACCTTATCCTATCCTCGCAACGTCAGGGGATTGCCTCCTCGGTTGCTGAGCTCTGGATGTGTAGGGGTTGTCCCCCTATCATTCTTGGCGGTCTTACCTTAATCCTATCCTCGCAACGTCAGGGGATTGCCTCCTCGGTTGCTGAGCCCTGGATGTGTAGGGGTTGTCCCCCTATCATTCTTGGCGGTCTTACCTTATATACCTTATCCTTCTCATCCTATCTAAGCTTATACACCCCATTCTTACAAACTTAAATAGGGCAGGCACTCTCTCCCGAGTCACTACCTTCTCACATAGGCTCCTGGTGTCTCTCTGTCTGACAGTTTGAACCAGACCAATGTGTTATATATTGCTTTTACCTTCCTCCTTCTCTATTCTCTCCTAACCTACCTCTTCTCTCCTTTCGTAGGAATAACTTGGTTGGCCCTTGTTTTCCTACAGTCCCCCTTGCATCTTCCAGGTTGTCCCAGGGAGTATCCTCGCAACGTCAGGGGATTGCCTCCTCGGTTGCTGAGCCCTGGATGTGTAGGGGTTGTCCCCCTATCATTCTTGGCGGTCTTACCTTATCCTATCCTCGCAACGTCAGGGGATTGCCTCCTCGGTTGCTGAGCCCTGGATGTGTAGGGGTTGTCCCCCTATCATTCTTGGCGGTCTTACCTTAATCCTATCCTCGCAACGTCAGGGGATTGCCTCCTCGGTTGCTGAGCCCTGGATGTGTAGGGGTTGTCCCCCTATCATTCTTGGCGGTCTTACCTTATCCTATCCTCGCAACGTCAGGGGATTGCCTCCTCGGTTGCTGAGCCCTGGATGTGTAGGGGTTGTCCCCCTATCATTCTTGGCGGTCTTACCTAACCTATCCTTGCACTGAGACCCAATCTCTCCTAACCCTATACTTCCTTTCTCCTTTCGTAGGAATAACTTGGTTGTCCCTCGTTTTCCTACAGTCCCCCTTGCGTCTTTCAGGTTGTCCCTGGGAGCGTGAGGTCACCTATCCTTGCAACGTCAGGGGATTGCCTCCTCGGTTGCTGAGCCCTGGATGTGTAGGGGTTGTCCCTCTATCATTCTTGGCGGTCTTACCTTATATACCTTATCCTTCTCATCCTATCTAAGCTTATACACCCCATTCTTACAAACTTAAATAGATACACGAATACCAGGATAATTGACTAACAGAAGATTAAAGATTAGAAGGACAGATTTCAGATTTTAAAAGACAAACGTCGGCAATAACGTACAGACAGACAGAGATATAAATAAATGTAAAAATAAAAATATTACATTTTGGCATCCCTTGTAAAGGAACGATTAGAATAACCGACTCTTTGGGTTAGAAATGGATAACATAAACGAACCAGTTACCGAAGAAATGTCCCTAGATTATGAAGGTCAAACAAAGACACAACTTGGAAAAACAGAGATGTGGATGGAACAGATGTTTGCTAAACTGTCAAAACAATTAAGAATCGAAATAGAACAACTATCAGAAGGATTCAAAGAACAGGCTTTAGAATCAAGAAGCGAGATGAGACAACTGATATCAGAAGAATTCAGAAATCAGTCTGAAAAATTAAAGGAAAAACTAGAAGATGTAACAAATAATATAGACCTAGTAGCAAAGAAACTGGGAAGAAGGATGGAAGAAATACAGTCTGATTTGACCAACCGGATTGAGAAGAATGAAGACAGGCTGAATAACATAGAACTTGACTTTGAGATAGAAAATACAGAAAAATATGAAAACCTAAGAATTCATGTAAACAAAGTAAATGAGGAGATAAAGAGAGACTTAAATATCCATGAGGAGAAGATGGAAGCTCTAAGCAAAAGAATTAACATCTTAGAGAAGAACAGACCTATACAGGTTGTAAATATGGAGCCAAGAACTCCTAATATACAACCAACTGATACTAACTGCCCGCCAAGTATAATAGCCAGTAATTGTGGTATCTCAGACATGTTAAAAGCGCTGAACTCAACGTTGATTCAGCAAAATAAGGGGATGAACCAGAAACCTTTATTCTTTAGGAACAGTAAGAAGGACATTCCTACAGAGTTTAATAACTCCCTAAGATCACAATATCAATTATGGGGACACACACTAATATTTCAGGACTTCATCAGACAGCACCTAAGAGATGAGGCATTAGTATGGTGGCTAATGCACGAAACTGAAATAAATGAAATAGACAGTTTCAGTGAAAAATTTTTAGGTAAATTTTGGAGAGGAAAATATGACCCTATTTTCTGGGAAGAATTGAATCATGGAAGTTACTTCTACCACACAAATATAAGTCCGCAGCAGTACTTCTGCAATATGATACTAAGAGCTCGGGCATGTGAACATAAGCTAGACGAGGAATTCATCTGTAAATCAATGGCAAGACATTTTGGGAACACTATCGAAGAAATAATGTTATATCAAGGAATTAATAGTATTGATGGATTTTTGGAGGTTCTAAACCGTTTTGGGAGAGAAAGGATTCTCAAGGAAAATAATTCCTACCAGAGGCCTTCGGCTAGATATCTTGAAGATAAAGAGCCACCTCAGATGAAAACTAATCAACAGGTGAAGGACCAAGGAAATAACCTGCCTTCAAGACCTTATAATGAAAAAATGAACACTAGTCAGTACAACACTGGTTTGCGACCTTATGATAAAAGCTACTCAAACTCAGTTAAGAGAAGAAACTTTGATAGAAGCCAGAATTGGAATCAGTCCAATCCTCAAGTGAACAAAATTAGCGTAGTAAGGGAGAAAAATAATCAAGAACCTGTCAACAGTTATCAACAGAAAACATATCCTGATAAACAGGCAAGACAGAATATAAATAATCAGACTTTTGAAGAGAACTACAGGCCAGCAATTGCTAAACAGCCAGTACAGAACGAAGAGGAAGATAACATAAATATTGCTTATATACCAGAAGATAGTCATGAGGACTGGCAATTAAGGAACAATGGCTCGGTAAACCACATTCAAACTATATCTTTACCTACCGAACCTTCTCAACCCATCACAGAAAATGAAGAACCAACTATTGAAGAATATGAATATCCAAAATTAGAAACAACACAAAATCATAAGAAGATCCAAGCCTTAGTAAATTCAGGCTATAAAACAGTCAGTTTAAGCCAGGAAGCACGTAAAATAGAGTTGAAGCACACTGGACTAGAGAAACTACCAGTACCTAACACTGTAGCAGAGACGATTACTAGATGGTCTAAGTCTATGAGGGAGAAAATAACTACGGATGTAATTCTACCTAACCACGCCATCAACGACGAAGGCAGAATAATCCAAGAAGAACTAGAAGACCATAGAAGCTATCTCCGCGGCAAAGTCAAAATAAAATGGCAATGATAAAGCCGATAGTCTCAGTCGGGTACAGACAAAAAGGACTTTTTAAAAGGAAATTTTTCGTGTCTAATGATCTTTGTAATAAAACACACTGCTTACTTGTGAGATAAAAGATATGACTTTTTTTTTTTTTTATAGCGACTTTTGTAACTGAAAACTATTGTTAACTAATTTTATGCTTGTTTAAAAGAATGTTTGATGAAAAAGTAAATAATAACTTGTAATAATTTTAACGATTATATCACTGAATTTTTTTTATTTGACAATTATAGTGAAAAAAAAAATGATTAATAATCATTTTTTTTTTCACTATAATTGTCAAATAAAAAAAATTCAGTGATATAATCGTTAAAATTATTACAAGTTATTATTTACTTTTTCATCAAACATTCTTTTAAACAAGCATAAAATTAGTTAACAATAGTTTTCAGTTACAAAAGTCGCTATAAAAAAAAAAAAAAGTCATATCTTTTATCTCACAAGTAAGCAGTGTGTTTTATTACAAAGATCATTAGACACGAAAAATTTCCTTTTAAAAAGTCCTTTTTGTCTGTACCCGACTGAGACTATCGGCTTTATCATTGCCATTTTATTTTGACTTTGCCGCGGAGATAGCTTCTATGGTCTTCTAGTTCTTCTTGGATTATTCTGCCTTCGTCGTTGATGGCGTGGTTAGGTAGAATTACATCCGTAGTTATTTTCTCCCTCATAGACTTAGACCATCTAGTAATCGTCTCTGCTACAGTGTTAGGTACTGGTAGTTTCTCTAGTCCAGTGTGCTTCAACTCTATTTTACGTGCTTCCTGGCTTAAACTGACTGTTTTATAGCCTGAATTTACTAAGGCTTGGATCTTCTTATGATTTTGTGTTGTTTCTAATTTTGGATATTCATATTCTTCAATAGTTGGTTCTTCATTTTCTGTGATGGGTTGAGAAGGTTCGGTAGGTAAAGATATAGTTTGAATGTGGTTTACCGAGCCATTGTTCCTTAATTGCCAGTCCTCATGACTATCTTCTGGTATATAAGCAATATTTATGTTATCTTCCTCTTCGTTCTGTACTGGCTGTTTAGCAATTGCTGGCCTGTAGTTCTCTTCAAAAGTCTGATTATTTATATTCTGTCTTGCCTGTTTATCAGGATATGTTTTCTGTTGATAACTGTTGACAGGTTCTTGATTATTTTTCTCCCTTACTACGCTAATTTTGTTCACTTGAGGATTGGACTGATTCCAATTCTGGCTTCTATCAAAGTTTCTTCTCTTAACTGAGTTTGAGTAGCTTTTATCATAAGGTCGCAAACCAGTGTTGTACTGACTAGTGTTCATTTTTTCATTATAAGGTCTTGAAGGCAGGTTATTTCCTTGGTCCTTCACCTGTTGATTAGTTTTCATCTGAGGTGGCTCTTTATCTTCAAGATATCTAGCCGAAGGCCTCTGGTAGGAATTATTTTCCTTGAGAATCCTTTCTCTCCCAAAACGGTTTAGAACCTCCAAAAATCCATCAATACTATTAATTCCTTGATATAACATTATTTCTTCGATAGTGTTCCCAAAATGTCTTGCCATTGATTTACAGATGAATTCCTCGTCTAGCTTATGTTCACATGCCCGAGCTCTTAGTATCATATTGCAGAAGTACTGCTGCGGACTTATATTTGTGTGGTAGAAGTAACTTCCATGATTCAATTCTTCCCAGAAAATAGGGTCATATTTTCCTCTCCAAAATTTACCTAAAAATTTTTCACTGAAACTGTCTATTTCATTTATTTCAGTTTCGTGCATTAGCCACCATACTAATGCCTCATCTCTTAGGTGCTGTCTGATGAAGTCCTGAAATATTAGTGTGTGTCCCCATAATTGATATTGTGATCTTAGGGAGTTATTAAACTCTGTAGGAATGTCCTTCTTACTGTTCCTAAAGAATAAAGGTTTCTGGTTCATCCCCTTATTTTGCTGAATCAACGTTGAGTTCAGCGCTTTTAACATGTCTGAGATACCACAATTACTGGCTATTATACTTGGCGGGCAGTTAGTATCAGTTGGTTGTATATTAGGAGTTCTTGGCTCCATATTTACAGGAAAGGGTAAATGTAACATATTTTATTAGGGCCTTTATAAATTGTAATTGTTAATAGAACTCATGTTCATGTTTTGTTCTTTTATTTTTTTGAACTGTGTGAAAAGGAGCATCTATATGTAATATATTTATAAATTTAATTTATTTCTAGATATTGTATTAATTTTAGTTGTGATTTAATTTAAAATTGTAAAAAACAATAATAACATTTAACTAGCGATAAAGATTAAAAGGTACGATGTATTAGAGCTAACGGACGGGAGGTCCTTCTCTGTCAAAGCTTGAATAGTAAATGACTAGTGGTATAGTGTTTTGGAGGTTGCGCGTGGCGCCCTCTAGGCGTTGTTCTAATGAACTATTTAATTCATTTATGCAAGTCATTGTTTTTTCTAATAATGATTAATAATTTTAGTAGCGCAACCTGTTAATTTCCGAGTGAACTATGAATTTCATTTTGAAACTATTTATTATTTCTTTTAGTAATTACTGATTTTGTAAATAACTAATGTTTGTAATATTTTTAAAATAAGTATTTATGTACTATAATTAAATAAAAATAAAAGGAGTTTGGACTTAGAGATCTCAGGGTCTAATTAAAATAATTGTTACTAGTGTAGCCTCTCACCAACCTGAAAACAGGTCTACAGTCCCCCTTGCATCTTCCAGGTTGTCCCTGGGAGTGTGGGGTTACCTATCCTCGCAATGTCAGGGGATTGCCTCCTCGGTTGCAGAGCCCTGGATGTGTAGGGGTTGTCCCCCTATCATTCTTGGCGGTCTTTCCTTATCCTATTCTCGCAACGTCAGGGGATTGCCTCCTCGGTTGCAGAGCCCTGGATGTGTAGGGGTTGTCCCCCTATCATTCTTGGCGGTCTTACCTTATCCTATCCTCGCAACGCCAGGGGATTGCCTCCTCGGTTGCTGAGCCCTGGATGTGTAGGGGTTGTCCCCCTATCATTCTTGTCGGTCTTACCTTATCCTATCCTCGCAACGTCAGGGGATTGCCTCCTCGGTTGCAGAGCCCTGGATGTGTAGGGGTTGTCCCCCTATCATTCTTGGCGGTCTTACCTTATCCTATCCTCGCAACGTCAGGGGATTGCCTCCTCGGTTGCTGAGCTCTGGATGTGTAGGGGTTGTCCCCCTATCATTCTTGGCGGTCTTACCTTAATCCTATCCTCGCAACGTCAGGGGATTGCCTCCTCGGTTGCTGAGCCCTGGATGTGTAGGGGTTGTCCCCCTATCATTCTTGGCGGTCTTACCTTATATACCTTATCCTTCTCATCCTATCTAAGCTTATACACCCCATTCTTACAAACTTAAATAGATACACGAATACCAGGTTAATTGACTAAAAGAAAGATTAAAGGTTAGAAGGACAGATTTCAGATTTTAAAAGACAAACGTCGGCAATAACGTACAGACAGACAGAGAGATAAATAAATGTAAAAATAAAAATATTACAATATATACTGTTTCTTCTTCCTTTGTTGCACTGAATTCTTTTGTCTTTAAACACTTTCCAAAGTTCTGTCAAACAACTCTTCCAAATTGGTAAGACTATTACTGGGTTTTACCCACTGGAGCCAGGATCACTTCTCCTCTTTTCAGTGCAGTCACACAACAACTGCTTGCCAAAACGAAAACCTTTGTCCCTCTCCTCCTTAGGATTTTCCTTCTTGGGAAATTACAGAGTAGCCATTTTATTTCCCTGCACTAGTAGAACTACATTAGCTTGCCTTTTAATTGTTCAACATTAATTTATTAAATCATTTTTACCCACTTCCAATAAAAGTGTATATTACAATATACTATACTATATATATATAAGTAAGTAAGGTAGTAATATATAGTAAAGATAAGTATTGCGATCGTGAAAATTTTTTAGTCTGAGTTTTCAACTAAAATATACGTTTTGAGATACCCAGAGTCCAAATAACCAAGTCCCAAAAAATGGTCTGTGTGCATGTGAACACTCCAGCTCGAAAATGAAAAGTCGTACAAAACTGATATTAGGTATTTAAGATGTATATATGCTATAGATGTCGTAGCAACTTTTTCCTTAAAATCGGCTAACCAGAAGTGCCACTTTATATCAATGCTGGAACACATTTTTACAATTTTCTCAACAACGGCTTTAACGATTTTGATTAAACTCTGGGTATCACTGTATAATTAAGTGGTCTTTAATATCATTTAGGTCTTATCCCCATTAATGTCACTTTACAGGGCTTAAATTCCCAATGTTTATTATACTTCCTCATAAAGTATCTTTAATATGGTTTATTTTAAATAACTAACTATCTCTCATTATTAAGAGTTACGAAAAAATGCTAAATATAACTTTTGAAAGAATTTGATAATTAGATAAAGGAGAAAAAAATAAAGATGCTTATCCAGGTCGAAAATGAATCTCTGGAAATACTAGTCACAAGGTATATGTATAATACATCATTGAAAGCAGAGAATTTTAGAAAAAACAATACCTAATATAGAAAGTTGTAGAAGGTAACGAAGAGAGGAGAAAAAATTATAAATAATAATGTTTGAAAACTAATAATATTTAACGTAAATCACATGTTTTCAAGGATTTTTTTTTTTTGCACTTTCATTTATTTATCCGCACCTGTCAATTACAACTATCGACAATCAGCAGATGTGCTGGCGTAGCAATGAGAGGAAAAAAAATAACGTAATAAAAAATAAATAAAAAGGCTTGATAGGCATGAGGAATCAAGGAAATTAAATGAAATTTACTAACTAAATGTAAACTTGAAAAAATATTTTTAAGTTTGTAAAAAGTATTTAAAATCCACCTAATTAAGGCAATGGCATTGTTAAAAAAACTATTTCATTGTACTTGTGTGAAAGAAGAAGTAAAATATAAAATAAAGAAAGGAGGTGGTCCGGGGTGGCGTTCATAAATAGGCTAAATAGGGGCAAAACTATTTTATTAAAAGCCAACGAGGTGTGTTCAGCTAGTAGTTTCACTTAGAACTGATTTGGAACTAGGAGTTTCACTTAGTTCTAAGTGAAACTTCTAGCTGAACACACCTCATAGTCGACTGCACCGCCTTTGAAGAACTAAGAGCTAACTTATTGAGGGAAACCAGTCTCTACATTCTCATAGAAAACGATTTTCCTCAGTTAGTCATTACAAAGATTTTGAGTACGGCTGGAAAGCTGCGGTGGGGCCAGCCCATTTCAATTTAAGAAGAGGAGGAGGTACTAGACCATTGGCATTTACTATTGCTGATACCAGTATTGCCTACTAGGCACGGCAGGGTTTTAAATAAATGACACCTCCCTGAAGAAGATCTGCAAAGTCGGGTCAAAACGTTGGCTTTTAATAAAATAGTTTTGCCACTATTTAGCCTATTTATGAGCGCCACCCCGGATCTTCTCCTTCATTTATGCTATGGTCAACTATTAAATATTCAATTAAAATATAAAATAATTTCATGGATATATAAAGCATATGTTTATAACCTTAAATACATTTACTGTAATTTAGTGATTATAGATCTGATATTATATTTAAATAATTAGGTATCAACATTTATTCCAAAAAATCATTATGTAACCTTTTAGAAAATTAAATTAGTGAATAATTTGATCAATTTTCCCTTTGCGATATTCCAACAGAATCCACTTACAATTATTGTGACAACTTTTGGCCTGTCTATGAATCTCTTAATTCCGTTTTAGTAAATTTTGCAATGGAAAATAACAGTTTAATAACTAATAGTCGTATAATCCATAACCAACGGATCGTGCAATTAATAATCGACGGATCATAAAATCCATAATCAACCGACAATATAGTAAATAAAGCTTTTGTTATTTTAATGGTGTTTATAATTTATTAGCTCTAAGGTTTTAGCTTTAGTTCAGTTAAAAATGCAATTCAGAAATTTTATAATAGCCCAACATGGCCAGAAAATAATTTCTATTCAAAGTTGAGGGGTGAAATTTGTGTGTTGCTCGCACCAGATTTTTTTTTTTTTTTTTTTTGAGGTATTAGGTATGGAAAAGATATAAACACTAAATAATATATATTTCTTTTTTAATACATGGGCCAACTATTTTAAATTTTTTTCAGTTTTTATATTTGAATTTCAGGTATGTTGTCACCTACTTCAGGATCAGCTTTCTATCAAGGTTATGATATATTCACAAATATAAGAAAGTTTCGGAAAGATATTGGGCTATGCCCTCAAAATAATTTATTCCATCCAAACCTTAAAGTTATCAATCAGCTCATATTTTTTGGAATGGTAAGATATCGAAGTATTGCATTAATTACTTAAAATACATGTTGTCTTACATAATCAGTTTTTTTCAAAGAACTAGATTTTATTAAGGAAAAGATTATTGGAGATTTGATCAGAATAGAAACTCACGGTAGAGTATAATACTGCTGTGAAAACCCATCTGTGGAATCAATCAGTGTATAAATAACAGAATCAAAGAGATTTATGGTGCTGAAGCTAAAAAATAATGGTGCTTAAAAAAAATAGACTCACTCTAGATTCTTAGAAGGAATCTGTCCGAAAAGAAGCTACCTACTAATTAATTTAGCAGGGGCTCACTTAAGGAAATTACAGCAGTATAACTGGACCCTGCAAACTGAACCATCATATGTTCAATCTCCGGCTAATGGAGTCGTCTCTTTGTAGGTACTGTGGCCAACAGCTTATCATACCACTTGGTGCAACAGCTTTGCTGGTCTGAAATTCCGACTATTCGGCATTGATAGGGTGATTGATCCCAAGAATAACAAGCTCCTCAACCGAAGCTTACTACTGTTCATTGAGACTGCAGAAATTACGCTCTAAAAATAAATAGGGTGACTTTACCATAGGCGTACAATAGGCCTTCATGGCCGCGATGTATTTATGCCACTTGGAAAAAAAAAAGAATACTGCTATTATGAGCATCTAATTTTCAACCTAAGTTGCTGGTCTCCACCAAGACTTTAAAAAAACAAGATTGGACTTCAATAGAAAAATCACTGTAAAATGGATTATAATTGAGAATATTAAATTATAAAAAAAAATATTTCTAGAAATATATTAGGGCTGTCTAGGTATTGAAAAACAATAGAAAATGGAAAATCAATAACGAGCTAACGTATACAAAAAAAAATTAAGTAGGCAACTTTGTACTTGTGAGTTAGCCGATCACCATGGACTGCTATACTTTTATTTAAAATAGCGAGGAATCCTCTTCCCTTCAGTCTCAAATGTTCACATAAATATGAATCCATGTGTTGCCTCGCAGTTCCTCTATGTTTTTTATTTCTCCACTTAACCATAAATGTTCTATGTGTTGAGTATGGAACCCACTTGAAGAAACGACAAACCTATACTGCTGATTCTAGTTACAACTTGGAAATGGTTGTAGTTTGCATCATTTAGTTGTTGGGTGTCGTATCCTTTCCAACAGTCAGAATATATAGTGGTCCCTTCTTCTATATTATGATTAATACATTCCAATAGAGTTGTTGCTTTTCTGTCTTTTATTTCTACAATGAAACACTCATCTGTTTCTGGACAGGCACCCCCAAATATCCATTGTTCAGGCAGCACTCTCCCTGCATGATTTTTTGTTTTATAAAAAAGACTTTAGCCTATTTCAACTATTTTTCCAGGCTCTGGAATTTTTTTAGTTTTTAGTTGTTGCTTTTCTGCCAAAGTGTTATTATATCCTTTTAAATAGAAAGTAACAAAAAAAAAAAAAAAAAAAAATGTATACAATTGAATAACATTGTAGTGGATAGCCCCCAGTATTTACTCCTTTATGTGACATTGTGTGAGGGAATGAAAAGGAATATATAGGAATGTGAGGTTGCACGATGAATTGTTCTCAATTATGCAGTGAACAAATTATTCATTGAAAAGTCTCATATTGATAAACAATCGATGAAGAAGGACGCTGGAAAAAGGACGAGCAGGTAGCAAAAGCTGGAGGAGGATGCAGGAAAAGAGAGGAGACGGCATTTGCTGCTGAGACACAGAGGCGTGATGACGTTACCTGAGATGAGAGAGGCAGGACATTGAAGACCAAGAATATCAAGCCTACAGTTATAAGACTTTAATAGATTCACTTATTACAGTTGTAAAATAATTTTTTTTGTTAGACAGGAGTGAAAAGTCATTTATTTATTCAGTTGTCCAATAGGTCTCACAATTGAAGAATAACAAACCAGGTGAGTCAATTCATTCAGAGTGTGTTTACTAAGTCCCACATTTCAGATATATTGTAACATATTTTATTAGGGCCTTTATAAATTGTAATTGTTAATAGAACTCATGTTCATGTTTTGTTCTTTTCTTTTTTTGAACTGTGTGAAAAGGAGCATTTATATGTAATATATTTATAAATTTAATTTATTTCTAGATATTGTATTAATTTTAGTTGTGATTTAATTTAAAATTGTAAAAACAATAATAACATTTAACTAGCGATAAAGATTAAAAGGTACGATGTATTAGAGCTAACGGACGGGAGGTCCTTCTCTGTCAAAGCTTGAATAGTAAATGACTAGTGGTATAGTGTTTTGGAGGTTGCGCGTGGCGCCCTCTAGGCGTTGTTCTAATGAACTATTTAATTCATTTATGCAAGTCATTGTTTTTTCTAATAATGATTAATAATTTTAGTAGCGCAACCTGTTAATTTCCGTGTGAACTATGAATTTCATTTTGAAGCTATTTATTATTTCTTTTAGTAATTACTGATTTTGTAAATAACTAATGTTTGTAATATTTTTAAAATAAGTATTTATGTACTATAATTAAATAAAAATAAAAGGAGTTTGGACTTAGAGATCTCAGGGCCTAATTAAAATAATTGTTACTAGTGTAGCCTCTCACCAACCTGAAAACAGGTCTGAGGGCTGGTTATTAGTTTAAATACTGGCCTGGTTCCTAGGGGAGGCACTCTCTCCCGAGCATAGCACAATGGAACACCTCAACTCTCCCACAAATAAACTGAAAAGGTACAATCAGGACGAAAATACTGACTTTGAAGGCTACATTATACCCAAGAAAATTTCGTACGCACCAAGACCAACTATCATACCGACGAAAACATCCAACAGTTTTTCTGAATTACAGACAATTAATAATAACACGGACCCTACACCATCCAGTAGTAACAATACACAATACAAAAACTCTACCACGCCAAAAACGTTTAAACCACCTCCTATTATTATCAGACCAGCAATGTCCGCTGTGGCATTACGAAAAGCTCTATTAGATGCTAAAATTAAAAACTTTACCATTCGTTCAAATAGGGACGAAACCAAATTGTATTTGGACATCAAACCAGATTACGAAGCTGCAATACATGTCCTAAATGTCAGCGATGAAATTCATTTTCACACCTACTCCCCACGCGGTTCAAGGCCGCTTAATAAATTTATCATTAAAGGTCTGGACCTTGACCATGACCTTGATTCAATTACTGAAACCCTCCAAGCCCGCTTACCCGGACTCAAATCTGTATGGAGGATGAAAAAGACCGACGCAGATGGCTTCAAAATAGAACTGCCACATATTATAGTCACGACAGACCCTGACACTACCATTGACAACCTCAAAGCAGTTGGTCCAATCGACCATATGGGGTACTCAGTTGAGAAACTGAGGAACATCAATGGTCCCAGGCAGTGTTACAACTGTCAGCAATTTGGCCACACAAAAAATTACTGTGCCCGCAAGATAAAATGCGTACGATGTGGTGAACACCACGACATCAGCGAATGCTCCCGAAACACCCCCCTCAAATGCGCAAATTGTCAGGGCCCTCATGTGGCCTCTTATCGCAATTGCGAAAAAAGACTTGCACTATTACAAAACATAGTGCAGGCTCATGCTGGAAGAAATACAGCACCAAACCCTAGACAAGATCAAAAGGGTAAAGCATCATAAGCTCCGCCCACCACCTCAAGACCCGACTCTTATGCGGGAGTAGCCCACCTAGCTCCCCCTCCCACCACCCAATCCCCACCCTACGAACAGCCCCCATGGGTCTCCGAACTCGTGGGCATGTTCAGGGACATGAAGTCCATGTTCACAACCCTATTAAACACAGTTAACCTTATACTTCAAAAAAACATCAATGGTTAGACATTTGATTATAAACTATAACATAACAGGGCTCATGCTTCGTAAACTTGAGCTAGAAACTCTCCTGGCTTCCCACAAGCCATCAGTCGTTGCACTGACTGATACACGAATCAACAAACTAACTCACATATACTTCCCCGGGTACCACATATACCGACTAGATTCCCCATCACATGGTGGCGTCGCACTTCTGGTGCGTTATGACGTCCCTTCCAGATTAATAAACAACACTACACTAAATGACGACAAACACTCAGCAATTACTATACAAGTAAAACTTGAATATACATACAAAATTACATGCATTTACCGTAGTCCTAGTGGAAAACCTGACATATTAAAACTATTTCTGAAGGACACCGAGACAGACAAACGTCACATAATAGTAGGAGATCTCAACGCCAAACATCATACATGGAACTGCACAAACTCTAATGCATTAGGAAACTTCCTGACCAAATCTACTTATACAATCATACACCCTAATGCATACACTTATAGACATCATGCTAACCCAAACATCACGTCTACACTTGATCTACTACTCACACAACAACCACACAGATTCACAAACTGCAACACGATAGACTTTAGCAACAACGACCACATACCTGTACTTTACGAACTAGGACATAACTCAACCCACAGACTACAAATACAATTTCAAACACGCTGACTGGAAACAATACAAGACACAAGTATATAGTGACACACCTAACATCACGACACTTACAACAACTATAGACATCGACAACGCCATTAGTACATTACACAACATTATCCATAATGCAGCTAACACCACCATACCCACCTTCAACCCCATTCCAATTCACCTTCGCATACTACCAAAACACATCCTATCAATCATAAAACAACGTAACAACATCAAGAACTGCTGGTACAGAACTAAAGACCCGACTTACAAACCTATCATAAACAGCCTTACTAGACAAATAACATCCCTTATGTCGCAGTGGAAAACGTCAATATGGCATGAACAACTTCGCCGGACCCACAACGACCATAAAAAATTCTGGAAACTAGTCAGAAGCCACAACACCAAATCCAAATCGGTGAAAATCCTCCGAGGCGATGAGCTTCTCACTCCTGCAGACCAGGCTAGCATTCTATCAGACTACTAC